AAGACTTTTATTATGAAATTAATTCCCCCACTTGCTCAGAGATATTATAAAATTCACTGATCTTCACCATGAAGGCAAGCTGCCTTTCCTAGGCTTCACCTCTTCAGCAAACAGATTGCAAAAGATATTTTACTAGAAGCAAAACCCCAGCTACGCATTGTCTGTAACACGTTACCAAAATAAAAAGACAAGGATTATATGCAATTATGACATGGAACACTGGTTCTACACACATAATAATAAAAAGGATGTAATCCACGATGAGAAGATCAAGACAATCCTGCAATGCAAGAAGAAAAAATAATGAACCCACATACTTCTACAACCCGAATTTCAAGAACTCAGTGTAATGTAGGTGATAAAATGGTCAGCTTGATATTCTTGTACTCATTACAGTATCCACAAACACCATTCCAGTTCCATGGGATACACTGTAATCAGTGCCCAAAGCACAGATCTTCCTTTTCTGAATGTTCTGGCATTAGCACAGGTGGGGGGGCTTTATTACACAGATATTTATTAAAAGCCTCTGGAAGAAGTGAAGTGTAAGGACTTTCATGCTTCACATTCACACAGTTGTTCAGGCTACAGTACATACTGCATGTTCCCAGAGACATGCAGCCTCTGAAAAACCCTAAAACATCACTGTCAAAAATAGCTGCCCACTCAAGCTGTCTAGAAATCTTCACTCAGAAGGTCCATCATGGCTCAAACAGAAAGGGTCCGCTTGAGGAAAAGAACTGACAAACGCACTGCATTCCTCAGCTCATCCAGAACCGCCGCAGCCCACTCTGCACTACAATGTCAGCTGCTGTCTATGTTCGGAGGAAGTACAGTAAGTACAGTACAGCCCATTCAGGTTGGTGGAATGCCACTGATCATATGCTCAATTGCATCTATTCATTAGAAGAACTCAATGCACAACAGCAGCTGCATTTAGCACCACGCCGAGCGCCGTCCAGTTGCCCCAGGTGATTCCAGGAGTTCATCAGCCCGCAGGAACAACACTCTGTGCCCTCGTGTCCTCGCAGCAACTGCATGTTACACTTTCAAGCCTAAGAAGTTGCATTTAGGAAATAACAGTGTATTACCAGCCCTTCTGGCTTTGAGATTTTGCAACAAATAAGGTCGGGCCTTCTGCAGTTGTGTTCTACAAGTTCCAACAATTTACACTGCTCTAATAAAAAATGATCAGTACTCTCTAGATAACTACTGCTGAAGAGATGTCTTCACCAAAGAACAGACAAGCTACTCCTCTTGTTTCAGAAGAACTGTGATTAATTGTCTGTATACATATAAAGGTATCTACCTATCTATAGAAGTGTAATCCTGGCATCTGCCATGTCAATAGCAAACTCCCCATAAGGTTTCTGGAGCCCAACGTCACCATGAAACCATAAGCAATACAAACAGCTGAAAACAAACCTTTGTGAAGGAACATGGGCTGTTCAAAAGGGCACATACAATTTCCTAATTGATTACAAGGACATCTGCATGCATAACACCTAGAATGACTGAAAGACACAGGTTTTGTATTTACCCTGAATTTCACCACGTTCTGTATACTTGTTAAGTCTATCAGCCAGCCTATAACCAATTTCCTGTCTGCCTGGGTCTTTCACACAGCAAGAGGAAAGGAATAAGAGATTATGATGTTCCCTTTTTCTCTAATTAAACCAATTCTAAACTGATCTTAATTCTACCTCTCTGCACCTTCCCTTACCAATTTTCCCATTGTTAAAAATGTAACTTCTCATTCCTTGACACCACTTCCCTCCATCCTTCCAGAAATCCTTAGAATGGCCCAATAAATAAACGGAAGAACACTGATGCTGGCAGTGTCCACCAGAGCAGATAATCACTGCAGGCAGGATTACTGCCCAAAAACACCACCTACAACACCAAACAGCATCAATTGTAAAACAGAGCTCACACAAGAACAAATTTAATGTTAGAGTCATATAACTGAAAGTTATAGTTTCTTAGCTTCCTAGAACACCCATAATTAGAGCTTCTTAATCTACCTAATCATCAACTTCAGATGCTTGCAGCCACTAAACATCTGATCAGTAGTCTGCAAAACAGGATCTGCAGGGCAGGAAGGATAAGATCTTACACTGTGAGGCTTGCTGGAAGGAAAGACTAAAGTAGGTCATCCATGGGTTGAAGTCCTTTCACTCTCACGTACTTCTTTCTGGAATTTGAGAAAGTTTGCAGTGGGGAAAAAAAAATATATATATATATATATAAAAAAAGAGCCCGGGTCAGAGGGGAAAGAAGGCAGCAAAGCCCACTTACCAGCCTCACATTAGCACTGGGTCCAGGTGTACATTAAACCATGTCCAAAGAAGCTGAAGCTGATTTTACCCTGTTCTGCTGAAGATTCATAAGCTGCCCACTGGACTATAGAAGATGGCCCCATGCTAGAGATTTTGAACTTTTGATTCACAAGCAAGAGAGCTCGGAATGGCTGATGAAATTACTTCACGTTATGCTCTGAAACATTTCAATTGTTAATTCAGAGCAACACAGGCACCAGGAGGAAAGGAAGAATCTACACATAGTAATCAGGGCTGTCACCTTACACCACTCTCCAGGGCCAGATACCATTCACACCAACTCAAGAAGCTCCATTCATTCAAAAAGCTCTGAGAGGGCCAAGCTTCACATGGCCTGGACCCACATCAGGAAACACAGCCCTTTCAGACACCAGAATCCAGTTTTGGAATCTCTGCTTGATCTCTAGCCAAACGTGATCATGCTTACGCTTAGGTTTTGAACTCAAAACACACCAAAGGGATTGCCCCAGTAAATCCATTCCCATGTAACAAGTCACAGCTGGGGAAGAAAGTTAAATGCTAAGATGGAACAATCACAGCCAGTAAGGAAAAACACAAAAATGCAGAACCAAGAAGGTAGCAAACAATCAGTGTTCATTTTCTGTGCTCTGTAATAAGTAAAACCACTGTATCAACATTTAAGGCAAAACAGCTAAGAATGTTGCACGTCTAGTGCATTACAGTATGCTTAATGCCAAGACATTTTAACAGGTGCTTGGGTATTTCTGTTTTATACATTGCTTCACATTTGTGTGCTCAAAACGCTTTCCAAGATTTCAACAAGCTTGTTCTGCGTGTGAATGATTTGTCCATGTAACCTACCAAATGCACATTTCAATCCAGAATCCAGCTGTGCTCATTTAACCTTGGCTCATACCCACAGGGATTGCTCTCATCCTGAACAGCTCGGCAAATTTGGAGAGTAGAATTCTAAAAAACATTGCTTTCACGTCATGTTTAAGGTGACAGCAAAAACTCCAGTTCCACAAGCTGAATTATTGTCCACTACAGCCATCTTGTTTCACTGAAATGGAAAGTAGTTCAGTTGTACTGCAGCACTTCTCACTCTGCTGTGCAACCTCTGATTAATCTCACACAGCATAAACTCTATGGAACAGGAACAGCACTAATCAACGCCTATATAGCTCCAAAGAAACGCAGACTGCCTTGTTACACAGACTTGGGATACGGCCTAGGAGAGCCAACTGATTAAGTTTCTGCCACGAATGAACAGAGGTTAAATTCTGAAATCAAGGGAATACCAAAAATAGTGTGTTAGTTTTGAACATAGTTTACTTCAAGGACTATGAACTGTTTCAGCCTGACAAACAACTGTCATTTAGTCACATGGGAAAAGTTTTTTCCTTCAGCAATGAGAACCTGAACCAGGAACAGCACACTCTTCTCTCAAGAGAGACATTTTGAGCTATTCTTGGGCAGAGGTGAAAGTCAGTACCAAAACTCGAAGCACATCCAAGGTACGTGCAGCTAAGCATAAAGAGGCCATGATCTGCTCCACGTGAATGGTCCTGAGAGCATACAGAGGTTTCTCTGCAAGCAATGCCTCCTATTCATTTCCATGGAAACTACAACAGATACAAAGAGCACAATAACACTATTTGATAGTGTTTTGTAGCCGAGGATTTGCTCTCTCTTTCAACAGTCACCACCATTAGTTATGCATTTTTGCCAGTGATGAACAAGAGCATGTCATGCTCACAACAACATGCACCAGTGCAGGTGACCCATTGTTGCCACTGTGGAAACACACCACCCGCTGCCTCACTGTGCTCACAGCCACTGCTTGGTCTCCGTGAACACTCCGCAAGTGCCAATGAATGTCAACAGGTGCCATTTTTTCCCCACATGGAGGAACTCAATGACACACCTTTGCTTCATATGCACTTCCGTGCCAGACACCATTGTGTCAGACTGCCCCTCTGCTGCCATCTGTTGCACAGCAACAAAATGCAATGGAGTACTGGTGGGAAGGTTCAACCTCTACTGCCATTCCACCAACATCTGCCTCTGACTTTCTGGACCAAGATAACAAAATAGGAGGCGTTACTTTCAGAGCAGCTCTCGTATTCCAACACCCATCTCAGGATGACAAAAACAAGCATCTCTGTGCTGAATTCCTTATCTGAGACAGGGCTACCCTCCCTCGGTGGAAGAAAAGAAGGTAAGGAAGAAAAGGCACGCAGCCAGTTACACTTGCTCCTTGCAAACAGCAAGTGAGCTGCTTCAAAGAAGACCACATACATCATTTCTTCCATTTGCTTCTGACAGTGAATAGAGTTTATACATATTAGAATTCCACCCTTGTACTTGCAGTTAATACTTGCCACAGTATTGAGAAGGGAAAAAAAAAAAAAAAAAAAAAAAAAAGCTATGCTACTCTGTTAAGCCTCATACATCAAATTAAGAAATCACAGAAGTCCTACAGGTCACCACAACCATCTCTATAACATGAATTAACCCCACACTAGACATGCGTCTCAACAGCAAGTTCATCTGCTCAGCTACACGACTGCCAAAAGACTTGGTGCATTTTTTCAACCAGCAAACTTGATAACCACCATCAAAATTGTTACCTTAAGATCAAACATAAATTTATTTTGATCACAGTGACAACTCCCCCCTCTTCAAACTCATACGTACCTGATCACAACCTGCATTCACCAGCTCCTGGAGCATCTGCCTATTCACTTCAACAGTTGCTGTATTGCTCGACTCGTTAGCAAAAGGTAGCAAAGAATACCTAATTTCTCGCAGAGCTTTCTGATAAGGTCCAAACTTTGCCGTTTGTCTCATCTGCTGCTGCCTTGTAGCATCCTTCCCTACTAAAATCTTAGGGTCCAGAGAAGTTTCACTGCCTGGTCCAATCGGTAGTCCCTGACCTGAAGATTTGGATGGCTGCTTTAAACCTTCTCGAATCTCTTGTAACCTTTGTCTGCTGTTTCCAGAATATGTCGTAGCAGGAAAAGTCTTTGGCCTCATTGTTAATCCAGTTTTCTCTGAGCATAAATACAGCTTTATTCTTGGGGAGGTTTTTTTTTTAGTTATTTTATTTCTAAAAAGTGTCGCTTAATGGTATCAATTTCTTGTAAACACAGATCCTTCAAAAGGGAAAAAGAAAAATGGCAAAATCCTCAAAAGGTTTCTGCCAGCATTTTACTTCAGCTCACGATCTTCACATCTCCAACAGAAAATCTCTGGAGTCATCATTTCACAGACCGACGGCGTCTGAAACAAAAGAAAACAGAAAGCACGTGTCATTAAGTTGATACTGTAAACACCTCCAAAGGGACAGCATGACAATTAACCAAGTGAAAGTGAATCAGTTTAGCCTACTAGGCTGTCACAGCTGGATTCCCATTAATGACAATTATCACTTTATCTGTTTTTAAGAATAGGATTTCAAAAGGCTTTCTCAACATAATCAAAAAAAGCATTTTTCTTTAAGGCTTCGTTTTGAAAATAAATGAAAATAAAAACCTGAGAAACTACAAAGCTTGAGAATTTCATACACTACCTAATTGTGGCAGGTTTCCCATCCCATTGCATAACCAAATCCTGGACAAGCCTATCCTGTTTCATAATTAGGGAAGAGTATGCTCATGAAATGTTTTTCTCCCCACTTAAGATTTTGTTTGTTTTACACTAGCTGAGCTCAGTTTCAAGAGTTTATGAAAAAGGCTTATAATGGAAATATTGATGATTCTAGCCATAGCAACTTCCAGCATTTCAATAACAAAGCGACAAGATTTTCTGCCGTTCCACATGAATGTTCTAGCCAATGTTGAAGGTAAGAATTCTCCCTGGAATTGGAAGAAGGGTTTTGTTTCCTTTCTTTGTATTATTTTTAAAGGGTACAGAGGTGGGGGAATCAAAAGGGTGATACATGCTTTAACTCTGCCCGACAGGAAAAGACAGGGGGAAGGAGCTACTCAGTAACAGCACAAAAGGCTGAAGAAGCTCGTGCAGCTCACATAAGATTGAAACACAGTTGTGATACAGCTTCACAACCCTCTTCTGATAGCAGCAGAGGACAGCTATACAACTACGGAGTAGAACTGAGCTACTCTGCAACTTGCAACATCCTTACAGCATCAAGAGGTAATCAGAATTCTTTATTTACTGAGTCTTTGTGGCACTGTCATTATACATGCCAGACATTACATACAGATGCGTTTCAGAAAAAGGATTAAAAAGAAGCATCATATACTACTGATGCCACAAGTTTGCTTCTGCCAGCATTTGCCAGGTGACTCTGCCCTACTGCTCCAGCTGCCTCATTGAGAAGGTCAGAATTTTGTCCAGCTGTTTTGAAGCTGCAAACGCAGAAGCTGGTGAAGCACTGGTATTGGTTGGTCACTCAGAAGTAGAGCAGAACTTTTCTCTCAGCCCTCCTTCCCTCTTTATGAAGGGGCTTCGCTTCTGCCTGCAGTGTTTTTTTTTTTAATATCACAAAAAGCTTCTCCAGAAATAGTCGTACACTCCACTCATTGCAGTTCCTGTGACAGTGGCAGCATTCCCAACAAAACAACAATTTCTTTACAATTAATACCACCACCTCTCACAGACAAGCAAACAGATTACTACACGAAAGCCAGGAGTCCAGACACACTCCTTGAAGCCCATCATCACCTCCTCATAAGCACAGGGTCTATTGTCAAGAGAGTCAAGCTCTCCTCTAAATCAAGAACTGAGCACAGGGCAAATTACAGCCAAGTCAGACCCCAGAGTACTTTATAATAGCTCAGCACTTTGAAATACAGGAGCACAGACAGATGACCTTAAGTACTGTCTACATCTTACCCTCTTAACTAAGCATGCCAGGGAAATTTCTGTACAATGTAACAGCAGTCCAGAACCATCCAAGCTGAAAAGCAGCACAGACCAATGCTGAGAGCTCCTGGATCAAACTGCTGGAGAGCATACAAAGGAGGCCACACAGGTGGTGCTGATCCATGTCAATCTCTTGCTAACATTTAGATGCACAATTATCTAATGATTACTTCTAACATATTAGAATTATAGAATTAGTCTTGAATTCTTGACTCAGCACTATAAGGATTTCCTGCAACTTAACTCATATAAGAGTAAGTGGCATAAGCCCAAACACGCAAACTGGCACCTAGCAACATCTCTTGCTTTAAACACATCACTTGCTTTAAAGAAAGCAACGGTACTATTCAAATTTTGGTATTATTGCAAAATCAGCTATTAGGCAAGAAAATATGCTTTTGTTATGCTCAACAATGATAAAAGCAACTGAAGGATCATGACGGAATTTCGACTACTTAGAATTTAGCAACAAATAGCACAGAGCCTTAGTAAAGCGTTAAAGAGCAAAAACAGCATCACAGCCTTCTTAGGACCACATCATAACTTGCTGGCGCTTGAAAGACACAGAGCAATTAAGTGATCTACGACTGCCCTTCCTTTCCTGACAGCAGCAGGCACCATATGGCTGGGTTTAGGAATCTGGGTTGTTCTTCCTCTTTTCAAGCCCCGTGCCAACCCGCAGGCCTGGGATGTGCAGGAAGAGCTCCAGCCCTCCCCACCTTTTTGCCACAAAGAACTGCCTTCCTACTTACACACATGCTTCACATAAAGAACTGCTGTGACCTTTAGCCTAGGCTTGAGTCTAATAATGCTAGCTCAAGCCAGCTGGCAGCTTCTTCAGCTTGCATTCACAGCACAGCTAAACTAGAAAGCAACGCTGATTGTTCAGACAGTACAAGTAAGAACAGCAACAACATAACTTGGAACTGTGGATGTGCTTCATATTTTGCAGAAGGTTTTTTTTTTTTTTTTTTAAACTAGATATTCAAGATCAGCCAAGAAATCGGGACATTAAGTATGACAGATAATTTACATAGACAGACAAGTTGTCTGCTTTTTAAAGTCTATACGCATCAAAAGAAACAGTGTCTAAGGATTTGTGACTGTACATCTGGACATTAGGTAAAACTTCACCTTGCCTACAGCACAGATATATCCATAGCCTTTTTGCTGTGATGAGAAGTGATTTCTCAGAATTATTTTTGAGCTTCAAGCCATTTTGATTAGATACTTGTAAGGTGCTGGGTTTCTTTAAATGTTGGTTTGGGTTTTTTTTCCTCCTGCCAAAATGTTACATGTTCTGTGTTAACTAGAAGCTTGTCTGTTACTCTGAAGAAATAAATAATCTTTCAAATATTTTTAACAACACTAAGCCAGAACAATTTTTGAGTAACTGAGATTTTTTTCTTCATCTGAGAAATACCAATAGCTGCCTGGCAGCATCCAACCAGCCACGCTGCATTCACGTGCTGAAGTCTGCCATCCCAGCACCACTGCCTACTCACGCCAGTTTCTTCATTCAGCAAATGAAAGGCTGAATAGCTGCATATGCCAGTGGCTCTGTGGGATGGGACACCAGCAAGAAACTAAAGCTCAGCTGTGCTTCAGGAGCAAAGTCCCAAACTCTGAGCCGGCAAGTTGCTTCCCAGCCTCTAACCGCACCGGCACGGTGAGGAACTAGTGACGGCTGCAGAAGTAAGGACTGAAGTTTGAAGGAACGGACGCAGCTGCCTGCTAACTCGCAGCCTCCTGGCATCGCACCGGGCTTTTTAGCTCGGAAGCACACGGAAACAGCCTGGCCACTTCATGCTGGAGGTCTAACACTAACCTGGCGAAGAGGAGCCAGGAATTTCACTGCATTACAAACCAGGCTTCCCTTTACAAGCGCACGCACGCTAAAAACGGCAAGAACCTAAAGCAGGGCTTTTCCTAACATCCCCCCCTCTCCTTCTAACAGCACCGTCCCACTCGGCGCTCAAGTCCCAGCGCGACTCACGGGCGCGGGCCCGGCACAGCACTGCGGGACGCGGCCGGCAGCCACCTCCGCAGTCCCGGGGCGTTACGCGGGGCGCTCCGCCACAACGCGCGGGTCCCGCGGCGGAGCTGCGGCCGCGCTCGGCGGGCAGGGCCGGGGCCGAGGCGCCGATCCGGGCCGTGACCTTCACGCCGAGCCGCGGGCCCGGCGGAGCGAGCTGAGGCGGACGGAGCTCGGCACCTCCGCGCGGCCCCGCGGGACGGTCGGGCCCGGGCTGAAGCCCCCGGAGCCGCTCCTCCCGCGGGCGGAAAGCTTCCAGCAGGAGCCCCGGCAGAGGAGCCGGGGTCGAGCCCAAGGGTCACCCCGCGCCAGACCGTCAGACGGCGACCGGAGAGCGGCGAGGCCTGAGGGGGTGGGGAGGGTGGGGGGGGGGGGGCGGGGTGACGGGACGGGACGCCACGGCTCCCGAGCCCTTCTTCCACACGCGGGACACCCTCCCCGGGCCCCGGGCTCTAACTTTCCCCTCAGAGAAGCGGAGCATCCGGGCTGGAAGTTCGAGGGGCGGCCGGGCTGGGGGAAAAGCCGCACCGCCGCACCCTTCCTCGCTCTCCGCCTCACCTCCTCGGGGCGCCCTCCCGGCTCCGTCACGCGGCGCTGCGGCGGCGGCCCCGACGGCGCGGGCCGCTCTCCATCTCCGTCCGCTTCGGCCGTCCCGGGCGCAGTGCGGGGCGCAGTCGGGACATTCGCTACATTGTTAGCATTCCTCGCGCGTCACGTGACCGCGCGCCCGCGTCATTCCACTCTCCCCCCCTCCCTCCGCCGCCCCTCCCGCCACATACCAGCGGGGGGAGGGGCCTCGGGCGGAGGGCGGGAACGGCCGCTGGGGCTGCGGCTGGGGCTGCCTGAGGAGAGGCGGCGGGAGTGGTTCGTCCTCCGCCCCTCGCTGTGTTTACAGGCGCCGTGTGGCACTTCGCCACCTCGCAAAAACTTCGCCCGTCTCACAAACTGTTCACCGTCTCGCCAACTTCTCCCCGCTCCTTCAATTCGACGGATTCGCACCAACTTTTTTAAAAAAAAAGCCCTGAAATGGTCTCCAAGAGATGCTGGCGTCGCCGTCCCGGTTGTGACGGTGGCTGTGCTGTCCCATCAGCTGGCCGAGGGTTTCGGGGCAGAAGGAGGCTGTGAGGAAGATGGCACTGCCGGCTGTGGGGAGCTGCAGCAGGGCTGAGGCGCCACCATCGGTGCGCACTGTGTGCCCCAAACTCGTTTCGATCATACATTTTGCTGTGGATCTGTTACCAGTCCTTAGATTTCTATCTAAAATCACACACACAAGACTTGACATCAGTGCCTATTTGGTCTTCTTAAGGGCTGGGGCTAATTTTTTGGGGGAGGGTTTGATTTTTTTCTCTCACAAAGAGGAGGAGGTGATGAAGTGCCAGAGGAGGACAGCCAGGGATTGAACATCTGGATCAAAAATTCAGGCCCAAACTGCAAAAGGATTTTTGGATGCAAAGTTCATATTTGAGCTCATTACAGATGGAACTGCCTGGATCCGAGCCTTTTTCATGAAGTATTCTGATTTTCGATATCTCTACGGTCTGTAACAAAGACAATTGTCAACTAGGAGCAACTCCCCACAAAATAGAGCAATGTTTGGATCTGGGAAGGCTCCTCCAGTGTGGCAGGATGCTAGCGATACTCAGGGAGTGCTAATATGGAGTGAAAACATCAGAAAGTGGCCTCCCCTCTACAAATGTAAATTCAGTTAGATCATTAACACGGGAGAAGCCTCCCGTGCCGAAACAAAACTTCAAAATCCTTGAAATCCCATCGCAAAGTTTGTAGTAGAGGCTCTCCGCCTGACTCGCTGCTGAGGCTCTCTGCTCAGCAGGGAAAGCTTTGCTGTGTGAAGGGATGTGTTGGTCTGTGAAAGCTTAGGATGCATAGTTGTCTTCAATTATGTGCACAGTCCCACTGCCTTCAACAGAGCAAGTATAAAGAGACAATGCTTGTCTTTCCAGGATGGGAGATATATTTATAGTTTTTTCCTAAGCTACAGGGATTATTTTTGTGAGTAATGTTACCTATGGATGGTCCTATCTAAGGATATTTCCTTAAGGTTGTTTATTGTCCTTTTTTTTTTTTTTTTTTTTTTTTTTTTTTTTTTTTTTTTTTTTAATGTCCTTCCTGCAAACTGTCAGTAGTGCTTAAAAACTATGTGTGGAAGGAGAAGAGAGTGAATGTTACGTGATGGCAAGCAGACTGTGGTATTTCACAAGAAAAAAATGCAGCCTGCTGCACAGAAATTGTTTAGCATCTCATCTGAGGGCAGCCAGTTACTGTATATAAATTACTGTTGGAATTTCAATAGTGTCATTGACTGGAATATATTGCAGGGGGTGGGGGAAGGAGAAAATCTCTGGCTCCTCCAAAGGAAGCTAAAGAAACTCATCAGGTTCAGAACAGATTCCACTGTTGGCAGGATAATGTGGTTCATTTTGCAATCTTCAAATACCTGCTATACTGAAGTAAATTTTAAATGATATGACAGATGCAGCATGGCTTCATTTTCTGAATTACTGTTGCGCTTAACCGATGAAGCATAGCAACATGATTGCCCAAACCAGAGATTGCTCAATGCCTTGAGACCTTTTCCCAACAAAATTCAGGATGGCTTAAAGGAACAGCATCAAGATAAAAATTGCTTACTATGCTAATATGTTATTTCATAAGATTTGGTTGTCATCCACATTCTTATGTCTAGGTAAAACAGATATTTTCATTTATTTTCTTCCATCAGGCTGTTTGTTTTCCTTTAACATTCCAATCCACCTGGGAATGAAATTCAGCTGCACTTTTTCACTCCTGGTTCCAGCCAGCTGCACTTTCTGAATTTCATGCATTTGCACAGAGCTGCTGGTTTGAATTCCCAGCAGCAGCAGCAGCAGCAGCAGCAGCAGCAGGTACAGGAGAGATGGATTGCATCTGCTTCCACAAGGTGACTGCATTCAGCTGGTCCACTGCTTATAAGAAAACTTCTCAGGCTGTTTCTGCATTTAGAAAATCAGACAGTTAAAAATCAAGTTCCTTGAAAATATGAAGGAAATGGAATTTGGTTGGGTTGTAGCATGATACAACAGCTCTGTGAGAACATGATTTGATCTCTAAGTTTTTGGGGATGACTGTAGATCCATCAAGTCTTTCATCCCAGCTGTGTCCTACTGAACAAGGTATTGCCACAGGGAAAGATGCACATAAAAAAGCAACACAATGTGTCTGTACGAGCAAATCCACTTACAGCTAGACCACGAGATAATAATCTGCCATGAGTAAGGGTCAGTGTGTTTATTCATGGCTCCACTAAAGTGAGTGAGTCTGCTGGACATATGATGATTACAGCATCCAGTTCCTGACTTGCCTTAGCAGCTGTCTGCTGTGCAGGTATGGTGGGAAAGAGCACAGTTCCATGGCTCCACATTCTTTCCACCCACCTGAGACAGCAAGAGAGGCAGGAGCTCTGTGCAGCTCTCTCTCATTCTCTCACATCGAATGCAATGAATTGCCTTCTCCCCTCCCAGTTCTCTTGTATCACTGTTAGATAGGCAAAGGTGTAAGTCTTCCTGAATTATTGTATTTGGAACCAATTACCAAATCATGCTGCTAAAAAAACTCCTAGCAACCAAGCAATTGTGATGTGTGTGGATGAATCTTTTCTTCATGCAGTAATAGTAGTCAACAAAGCCTTGAACTCATTCAGAAAGCTTGTGAAAGATAAAGGAAGATCATCAAAGGAAGATATGTCTGTTTGCCTGCTAGAGTAACACACACACATGAAATAGTTACGAACATACATATGGGAGCATACTCAAAGAATTTGTTGATAGCAACATCCTTCACTAGGAAATGTCAAGAACCAAATTACTATGATATGCAGTGAACAATATGCAAGGAAAAAGGACTTAGGTAAACATCACTGACGTTCTTGTTTTAATACATCTATTTTGTTTGCAGAGTGATACTGGAAATTCATTCTTCCCAAATCTCCAACTCTAAATTGGTTAGAAACAGGCATTCTGAGTCCAACACAGCATAGACAACCCAACTCGTGAGTAAATATAATGTGTATGTCTACTGGTATTGAGAATTAGCATTAATGGCAAAGACAGGTTCAGTAACTGGGTAGGTGAAAAACTAAGTTCTAACTGCAGTTTAGACAAGTTAATTTGTTTTTATTATGACTGTCTATGAGACCTATCATCAAACTTGTTTTTAATGGCAAAGGAGTAGAGAATATAGGAACTGGAATTTGATTTCAACACAAAATGGGTGAATTAGGGAAAAGCTTGCTTTGAAACTGACTCAGCTTTGCAGAAGAAATACAAACCCAGGTTTATTTCATCGGCAAAGGCATTGTGGATGCTCAGAGTGCGTTTATGACCCTCATATAGAGGGTTCAACACTGAATTTCACAAAGATCCATGTTCCTATGTACTCTGCCCCCAGCCCCGCACTTGGTGTCAATCATTGACTTCAACCGGAGCCTGAAAGGGCGGCAGGAATGTCGTGAGTCTGTGTGGAATTTCACCAACAGCAGCCAGCTGTGCTCTCCATTTGGGAATCAGTCGGCCAACTTTTCAAGTCCTTGCAGTCAGCTTGGTGACATTCCTTTCTTCAGATGCAATGCAGATGCTTTTGAACACCACAGCCAACCAATTCCATACTGTTAGGAAATTTTACACATCCATAGGCAGTGCCCTTCTCATCCTGGAGAAAACGAGAAGAGGGAAATGCAGGGCATACGAAGCCCTGGCATCTGGTGAGGGATCCAGTAGCCATCAATCTGGCCTGTAATTGTCTTTTCATCAAAGGTCTGGCACAGCTGCTGTTAGCTTCTCCCAGCATAAACAACATCCCCAGCATGGCTCTGCCCTTCCTGCCACAGATGCAGAAATGATTCACTCTCCAGATAGAAAAGGTGTGGGAGGAACACAAGTCCTAGTGTGGTGCAAAATGCAAGGAACTCTAGAAGTGGTGAGGACAAGGGTAGCTGTATAAAGTACCTGTGTAGAGAGGTAAAGAGCAGGAAGAAAATGAGGAAACTGTGGGGAGCGCTGAGGGAACTAATGAAGCACTTCTCCAGTATATGGGAGAAGAAAATCCGAGAGACATTAGTGCAAAGTGCAAAAATCCCAGAGGAGCACGGGATGGGAAAGCAGCAGTGGGGCATGTGGGGAGGAATGAACCGTGTGTACAGTCCCCATGAACCCATGGAGACTATAAACTGCCCCCTGCCCTTACATATATCAGTGCAAGAATGTTTTGCAACCATCCAGCACCTCAAAAGGGTGATAAGTCTAACAGAAAGTTTCCTATTGGTGCCAGTGGTAATGAGGTCTGTGGAGCCAAAGGCAGCACATTTCAGCTTTTCTCCATCCACTCACACGTTTTGGGACTGCCAACAAATCTTTTTGTATCTGCACCTCATTTTCCCTGTCTGTTAGGAAAACTGAATGATTCCCACGTCTTGGAAGGACTAAAGAATCTCTGGATGAATGGCTCCTTCTGTGTGCTATCATTATTTTAAATTGATGCCTCAAAGCCCACTGACACAGTTTGGCATTGATTTAAAGGAAGTCTGTATTTGTTTCTGATAATTTACTGTACCTACTTTGATGGTCTGGTATTAAAGTCCTTTGTAGCTCTACCCACTAGAAAGCTAATTATTTTTTAAAGAAGTACTATCTACTTTTTGTGTTAGATTGATCTATACAATTTAAAAACTATTGAGTGTTAAGGAATTTATATTGCCATCTTTATAACTAACCACACATATTTTCAAGTGAGCTTATCAAGAAAAGCATGCATTTAATGTTTTTCAGCTGTTAACCTGAACCTAGTGTTTTGTTGTTTTCTGTTACCAGTTTGGAATACAGAATAAGAAATCTCTTTCCTGTGATTTAATTGGCTTACAGGAAAAATAAACTCTGGAAAGCAGAAAAGATGTCTCATTTCATGAGAACGCAGACATAAGTTATTATATCAGTGTAACATTACAGATAGCTTTATCCACTGAACAGCTCACACAAAAAGGAAATCTGAGATATTTTAGATAAAACCCTGAGAGAAGAGACAAAGATGACTCACACGACACAGACTGTAATCTACTCAAAAGAAGCCCAAATAGCTTTCTTTGAGGTGGCTGCTTTCATTTAGTTACCTGCTTGCAGTTAATGCCTGGTCAGTAAAGCTAAATGCCACGTTTCCCGAAAGCACCACGAGAAATGTGTCTACTAGATGGCTCACCAGAGAAACCTGATGGAAGCCTGCTGATTTGGGAGCCCTGACTGCAGCAGGGGGGTTGGAGCTTGGTAATCCTTGAGGTCTATGTTTCTATGATTAATCAGAAGACTGTCAGCAAAATGTCATATAGATGCAACTGTCGCAGCAGAGGGACACACACCGCACAGCTCAGATCCTCAGGGTTCGTTAGGAACCGATGTCCATTTGGTTGCAAACTACAGTGAGTCACAGAACCTTTACCACAGTCCTAACCCTTCTCACAGCAAAGTCACCAAGACCTTTTCAGGAAGCCTCACGGTGTTTCCCTCTTAGTAACTGATAGAGATCCTCCTTGTCCTAAGGCTGAAGTTACTGCTAGAGAGAATAAAGGTACTAACCAGGGATTTCGACAGGGCTGTCAGCACAGTATCCTTGAAAATAAAACTAGATATGTTACCAGCATCCCAACTTAGAAACATAAAGGCTCCCCTTCCACCCAAATGGTAGAATTGAGTCAGAAGTTGGGATGGGATGGGATCCTGGGCTCCATCAGGAGAGGGGTGGTCAGCAGGGAGAGGGAGGTGATTGTCCCTCTCTACTCGGCTCTTGTGAGGCCCCACCTGGAGTACTGTGTCCAGGTGTGGAGCCCTCAGGACAAGAAAGACAGAGAGATCTTGGAAAGGGTCCAGAGGAGGGCGACTAAGATGATCAGGGGGCTGGAGCACCTCCCCTATGAGGACAGGCTGAGGGAGTTGGGCTTGTTCAGCCTGGAGAAGAGAAGGCTGCGGGGTGACCTCATTGCAGCCTATCAATACCTGAAAGGAACCTACACCCAGGAGGGGAGTAAACTCTTCAGAAGGGCTCACAACAGCAGGACTAGGGGAAATGGATCCAAGTTGAAGGAGGGAAGATTTAGGTTGGATGTTAGGGGGAAGTTCTTCACAAGGAGAGTGGTTAGGCCCTGGAACAGGCTGCCCAGGGAGGTTGTGGATGCCCCGTCCTTGGACGTGTTCAAGGCCAGGTTGGACGGGGTCCTGGGCAACCTGATCTGAATGTGTACGTTTGGTGGCCCTGCTAGGCAGGGGGGTTGGAACTACATGATCCTTGAGGTCCCTTCCAACCCGGGTGATTCTGTGATTCTGTGATTCTGTGTGATTCTGTGAAGTTAGAACTTCTAATGGGCTGCCTTATCAGAAGCAATAGAAGGAAAAGCAATTCTTCAGAAAAGGACATCCTGCAAAAAAGTGTCAGATCAGATAGCCTTTGAACACATTTTAGGTTCCCAACATACTGCACGTTTTAGGCTAGATGTGGGACTAAGAGGAAAGCATTCTTCTAAGATGCTATCAGATCTGACAGAGCCTATAGAAGCAGGAAAATATAGTAGGAAGATTATCAGAAAAATACTGACCATGCTAATGAGCTTTGGATCAGATCTTTCAACAGGACTTGGCTCTTTCCCTGTAAGACTTGTTATTATGACTAAATCTGCTCAGAAGGAAAAGATAATAATAGCATATAATTTCTACTGATTAAATCCTGAGAGGAAACTGAACATAAAACAGAGTAAAGGAAGAGATGGGATAAAAAATGGGCACTGACATGTGTTCAGAACTACTATTAATGTGTATTCAAAGATAATTAAAATAATAGTACAGATGGGCATGGAAGTACAACTGCGGATAAGAAGACGCATAGTTCAGAGGAAGAGAACCAGACAGACTGCAGATTGACATCAGCAATGCGCAGTGAATAAGGGACAGCCAGTATAAAACAGGAAAGTCAAACTGTAAGAGAGATTTAACATACACACTGAAATAGACCACGGTGGAAACTGGTATAGAGGTCAGCTACAGACAGAAGTGATGAGCTTCTTTAAAAAAAACTGTTTGTGTCTCTGTTTTTATGAAGTCTGGTTTTGTACGGAACTGTGGGAAATAGGTGCCAGAAATGACCAGGAGTTAAGTAAGGCCATGTTAATGCAAGGCAACGGCACACGGGGAACGGCCGCTGAGCAAGAACATTGCAGACAAGCATGGGGCAAGTATTCGTTAATCTTGCAGGAATTGATGGTGCACTTGAAAACTCCAATTGCTCTTGAAAAATACATAACAAGAGACCTTCTTTAGAGCAGTGATGATACCCCTACAGATGGGTACGGATGGAGCAGACTGTAGGAGAAACACGACCAGGTTGCACAAATGTTCATGAGGAACGCAGCGTTCAATGGCAAAGCCAGGAACACAATTCTCATCTCCCAGATTGTGAGCAGCCATTGGGTCATGCTGTCAGTAAACAAGTAATGAGGGGATGCCACGCATGAAGGGTCATGCATGAGAAAGGATGCCCAGACTCATGGTTCCATGCTGTTGTCTGGACACAAAGCTCTAGGAGATATCTGTAAGATATCCTAGGTCTTGACCTTGGCAATCTGCAGAAGTCTAGCCTTTGACACTCCCTTAACACACAGTCATTTTCAGTTATGCTGTAAGCCCAGTGCTGTGTTTCATTATCCTAAATAAACTGCCTTTCATGCAGTAGTGCCAATTGAGCTGGCCTTGTACTGGGTACCTGTCACAGCCGTGTGGTGCCATAAGCTCTCCTGCTCAAACTCTGCCAGCAAAAGTGGCAGGTGCTCAGAGCCAGACAGGCTCCAGAGGCAGCCTCACCTGTTTGGATTGCCTGTGGGAAGGAAGCAAAGTGACAGTTTGTCAAGGCACCTGAAAGCAGCGTATGAAACCCCTGCCAACAAACCTCGTGTATTTTCTTTGGAAGAGAGAGAAAAACTGAGCAGAGAAAAATCTACAGTCACACCTCTGTGTGTTCTGGGAGCCGAGGTCCTGTGTGCTTTGCACTTGTTTACTCATCTTTATCAGCACAGAAGGATGCCAGAAAACTGAGAGAAGGTATTTACTGTTTTCTGTGAGATCAGTCAGTTGCATGAATAAAATGACGTGGCCTGAACTCTATAGATCAGTATAATCACAACCAGGACAGATGAGTGGGGGCAACTATCTCCATAGTCTGACCTTTGCATTAGAAACATAAAACTGTGTGTTGAGTCTTGTCTGTAAAGTTTTATGAAAACTGGGCCCAGGACTACAGCCCCTAAAATGTTCTGGGGAAATTCTGAGTGACATCTGCATAGGAGCCTGTGAATGTGAAGAACCTCCAACAGTCCATAATGCTCAACTAGAATATGATCAGAGGGTAATGTGGCTCAAAAACAGTGTCCAAACTGAAAGACATTCACTCTAAGCGTGTTTCACAGCGGTGTATCCCTGTTAGATGACTATAAATATCACTGCTTGTCTCCTGATCTTCCACACGGTCTTTCAGCCTACAGCCATTTTGAACTTTCTTCCCACACCAGCCACTGCTGTTACCAATACACACTTGTTTGTCTAAAAAGATCCACAGCAATCCTACACTTTTGCTTTTGCTCTCTGCTTTATATTACATTTGCATACTGTGTTAAGAGCTCATAAATTCTGAAGACTACAATTAAAAAAAAACAACAACCTTTCAGTGTTAGGGGTGGTTTTATTCATCATCAGTCACTAAAACTGCAAGATAGGTAAGAGGTGTTTGCAAATAATTAAAATACAGAATTTGTTCATAATGAGAATCACAAGTTGCCTATTGCTGTAACATTTTAAATAAGTAGAGTCTTCTGTGAGTCTTAGAGCACCAGAATCCCAAAGATAGTGGTATTATTATCCTGTAAATCAAAGTGAATAGAGACACATCAGTCGCAACAAATTGTCAGGCACCATCTCACCAGGGCTGAAAAATACTTCAAGAGGCCCTTGTTTCTCTGTCACCATGACTACAAATATTGGTGCCCTAGCCGCGTCTTGCTCCAGGTGCTGTGAATTCAGGTATTTGCAGTTACTCCCCATGCTCTTTGCACTCCCTTCAGCCTAATAAAAACAGTCTTATTTCTCTTTCATCTGTTCTCCCCTTCTCATACAATCACATGTAACTCCAAGTGCTGGCGCACTCAGTGCCAAGCCCTTGCTGTGTTTGTAGCAGTGGGGCAGGCTCAGGATACGTCACGAGCTTCTGTGCACACTGAGTCTGTTTAAATATCTCCTGAATACATAGCAATACAGATGTGCAAATTTAAAGTTATGGCTTTTTAAGAAGCCTTGTACAATGCTGTGAAACCCAAGCAAACTCTGCTTTTGTGTGTCACAATTTCCTTGGCCACTTTGCATTTCACAGCCAGTGCAGTTCTCCTCTTTGTGCCCATTTACTGGAAACTTACTGTTCATCTTGACAGAGGAGAGGGGACACCGAACAGCTGTGCTGGTCAGCTGTGCTGGGTGTCTGTCTGGAGGCGCCTCAGACACCACACTACGAACAGTGCCGCTCTCCTCCCAGTTTCTGCCTTTGTTTCTGGTGAGGAAGTGATTTTATGTCTTGTCCATGACTGACAGTTTCATACCCATGCTGTTGTTGCTGTTGTTTTTAATTGTTTCTTCTCCCAAAGTCTTTGCTCATATTACCTACTTTTTTTTTTTTTTTTTTTTTTTTTCAGATGTGAAAGGAACAATTCTCACTAAATCTGCTTTCAGCACTTTCTCTAGTTTTGGGGCAATGTTTTCTTTCTTATAACCAGGCTCTCATTCAAGGTATAATCCAAAGCTTTTCTTTTCTGCCTTAGTATCTTCTCAAAGTGGCCCTTGCTTTTTTATCACCGGGTCTACAGTCTTTCTATGCGCTCTGCCCATTCCTTTCTTCAGCAGCTGCAATTTGCTTAGTTACACTGCAGGTTCTCTTGTACTCCCTTTACCTAACTTAAAGGTTAATCTACCTTCTTTTCCCCCACACTTTAAGGACACATCTCATTTCTTAATCCTTTCAGTGGCTTCCTGCCTCCTCACTCACAAGGAGCATTCTCCTCTCTGGAGTTTCCTCTTTTTGCTCCATTCCCCTCCCTTGCTTCCTGAGAGCCTCCCGAGCTCTCTTGCCACAACACCTCTGGGCTCCTCTCAGCCATTCCTTTTTAGCCTGCATTTATTTTGGTAGCTGCATGCGTGTACAGTGAAGTAATATCAGTTTTAAAGAGAGAAGAACTTAGACACTGGTTGATTACTTGACTTCTAAAGATCATCATAGAATCACAGAATCATAGAACTGCTCAGGTTGGAAAGGACTTCAAAGATCATCAGGTCCAACTGCAACCTGACCATCCTACCCTAACTAACAGCCCTCTGCTAAATCATGTCCCTGAGCACCACATCCAAACAGTTTTTAAACACATCCAGGGATGGTGACTCAACCACCTCCCTGGGCAGCCTATGCCAGTGCTTCACAACCTTTTCTGTAAAGAAGTGCTTCCTGATATCCAACCTACACCTCTCCCCTGGCACAACTTGAGGCCATTTCCCCTCATCCTGCCACCTGTCACCAGTGACAAGAGACCAGCCCCGCTCTCGCTGTAAGCACCTTTCAGATATTGGAAGAGAGCAGTAAGGTCTCCCCTCAGCCTCCTTTTCCCCAGCCTGAACAGCCCCAGTTCCTTCAGTCTCTCCTCATAGGCCGTATTCTCCAAGCCCTTCACAAGCCTTGTTGCCCTCCTTTGGACCTGCTCCAGCATCTCCATGTCCTTTCTGTACTGAGGGCCCAAAACTGAACACAGCACTCGAGGTGAGGCCTCACCAGTGGATGAGTTCCCGAGTACAGGGGAAGGATGACTTCACTACTCCTGCTCACCACACCATTTTTTTCTTGACCATGTTTGACTCTGAATTCTTTGGGAATGAGATCAGTGTTTTTGAATTTGCAAAGCACTCAGTTCACCGTTACAGTGCCATATAAATGCTTAGCCCCTCATAGTTATAGTAGCCAATGGCTGAGACATGCTGTACTGTGCTCTGGGAGGAAGCAGACAGATTTCTGTGCGTCACACAGAGGAAAGCAACAGACTGTGTTTGTTCGTTAACTGAAACGTTTCAGTGACTTTAGCTTGAGCAACATACAACAGTCTTGGAGCCTATATGTGCCTCAGTGGAGATTTCAGATCAGATCTCCTCACAAAGAGTGACAGACACCCTGGTAACAGTGATGGTCGGGGCAAAGTGCTGATGTGGACACATGAGACTAGAAGGCATGACCCTGTCTGCCCCTTCACCTTCTGGAACCTTGAGAAACAAATACACCCAGAAAAATCATTATGTCTTGAAGTATGAAATATCTCTATCATTTTCTCTGGGTTTATTGTTGCATCAAGTTCAAAGGCCCCTGGGCCCCCTACCACTACATTAAGTGGAGCATTTGCTGGAGCAGCGGTCAGTTCTATCCTAATTCAAGGATGCTCCTAAAGGGCCACAGTGTGTTAATGCCATGCAGCACCCAACATTCTCTTCGTCTGTCTTATTTTCATAATTAAGCAACTGGGCAAAGCATGGATCAGCCCTGACCCACATCTTCATACCCAGACTCACCAGAACCAGTCAGTATCACACATGTAGTGTGATACTGTGCTTTGACTCTGTTCTTTTACTGGGAAGACAGAAGGTGTCAGAGTGGCCTACAGCGACATCACGTCTCAGGTCACCGCCTGTCCACGCAGAGCCGGAGCACCGTGGCCCAGAGATGCTGCAATGTGGAGCTGGTCAAAGGCCAGTGGGCAGACGCTGGGCCATGCGCTGCAGCTGACCCTGCCTGAGCAGGGCTTTGGGATGGATCATCTCCAGAGGTCCGTCCAACTTCAGCCTGTGGCTGTGTGAGCTGCGCCCTGCCCATGTTTGTGTCACCTACTGCCATGCATTCCTCCTAGGCAGCAAAGAGAATTCCTACACGGCCTACAAAGCCCTTTGTCTGGAGTCAAAGGAGGAAGGGGGAGGGACCCCATTCATCCCGGAATGGAAGTTCAGCTGGAGAATTGTTCTTTTCCTAACCTTATTCTCCTATTCACGTTTTTGATGACTAACTCTTGGGAACCCGGAGTACAACAAGCTGAATTTATTCACAGTCCGAGCATTATGAAAGCACCCTCTGAGGCAGTTTCCTCTCACACCGCCACCCCATTGAAGGCAGCCCTGACCTTCGGGGACCACCCTCTTCAGGAATGGAGGGTTATTCAGCCTGCATCCTGTTCGAGAGCCACACACCCCTCCCGAGTGGCCGGCTCGCTGCTGGAGCGGGGCCTGCCCCGCTGTTCTGTTGCGGCCCCGCTGCGGTTGCAAGCCGCCCGCTCCCGGGGCCGGGTCACAGCCGCGCTGCCTCTGGGTGTACGCACGCTTCTGAAGCGAGATCGATGCCACAAACCTGCTGGCAGAGGTGCCGGCGACGTGGCTGGCTTCAGAAGGAAAACACACCCTTTGGGTATTGGCTTGCATATCATTTACCCTCAGCAGAATGCGTGTAGGAAGCAGCGATCTGGCTCCCGCTAATCCTTATTCAAGATAAACCCTTTGAAGTTGGTGCGCGCTGCACGCAGGGCCAGCTTGGCAATTTTGCCAAGTCGGTGAAACGTTTTGACAGCAACCGCTTTCCTCTTCCCCAAAACAACAACTGACTCTTGTTCTGCCCATTTTAATCCTGAAAAAGAAAAAAAAGACAACACACAAAACCCCACAACCCAGCAACAAAAAAACACCAGACAAAGCCCCTCATCATGTTTCAGCCTCGCTCTGCATTACGGTGGGAGAGCACCATTGCCTCTGCAAATTCCCTCATGCATGCATGCACAGTCTCACTGCATACGAATCCCCTTTTTGCAGTGTGCAGCCCTGTTGGGCTGAGCATGGAGTCTGTCCTGGGTTTTGCACTGGTCCCAGGAAGAGTCTGGTGCAGAACAGGCTGCAGAGCAGAGAACAGACTGTGCTTGCTGTTCCTCATGCCAGGGCAGCGTCATACCAGTCCTTCCTTGCAGAGAATCACAGGAATGTAAAGCTGGGAAGGATCTGGGTTAGGCTGTCCCTCTTCACTCTGATACACGTTTGTCCAGTCTTAAAAACTCCAGAGCTGAGAGTAGATGGCATTTCTCCTCAGCAGCTTGGCAAAGGTTTCACACTGTGTTTGAGGCTCTCACTCGAGGCTGCCCTGTGTTCACGTTTTCTAGGGGGTTTCTTTTTCTGACATGAATAAAATTTCTTGCATAGATTTCTGAAGATTATACAGTAGCTTGAATGGGAAGGCTGCATGTTTGGAAAACCTGGACACATCCCCAAGACCTGTGCTGACCTATTGTCCAACTCGTGTGCCGGAAACCTGACCAGGAAGCAGGAATGCAGTTGTGCGGTGAATACACAGCAAATTCACAGTGTCCCGAAAGTATGGGATTCACTGCATTATAAGCAGCATATCAAGTTATGGAATCAAAGAGGAAGCCCAGGCTTGCTGCTTGGGCACTACAGAGCACGACAGAAGCGGGCAATACACTGACAATGACCTGAAGTCAAACAGCAGCAATTCTGTGATGCCCAGGTTATTATAAACTGACATTACTGTGGATTGGGGCCCTGCTTCAAGTTCCAATGGTCCTTCGCAGCCTCGCTCGGCCCTTCTGGGCCTTAACCTTCTCTTTCTTCTCCAGTTGTTTTTTTCTCCCCATTCAGGCTCACTGAGCACACACAGGTTTGGGGGGATGCTCTGCACAGGAAGGCAGCAGCCCTGTGTTTAGTTTGACATTCTCACGGTTATCTTGAGCACAATGATGTATTGCTGCCCCATGACGAGGGGGCAGAGTATGGGAGTGAGGAATGGGGGCAAATCAGGAGGTACCAAGCGAGATGCACAGGAGGAATGTGTGATTTTGGGGAGCAGCACTTACCTCCTTGTCTTCCACCAGTCCTCACAGTCACACTTTTATAGCGGGGCACAGCTCTTTGCATAACCGCAGGGTGACCTGACCTGGAAAATTGGGAATTTGACACCAAATAATAATTGGGTGTTTTGCTCTGGTTGTTTACACTCTAGCCAACAAGCAGTTGTGCTGGCCATTGAAGTGGCCCTTTGGCTGATTCTGAGCTGAAGTGAGTGGTGGGGCAAAAGTCACAGAGTGGTGCTGGTGGGGTGGCAGCAGAGCAGCGGGGATGCCCATACAGCTGTGGTCATTCCCCAGCACCCTCCATCCCCTTATTGCCTCTGCTGCCACTTGAGCACGTCACACAGTGACATGGGCAGCCCTTCAGTGAACCAAAACAAGGAACCCATCTAGCTGAAACCAGTCCTCTGGAATAGAAACAGAAGAGACCGTTTGGAGCAGGCTGAGGGGAGGCCTGATGGTGGCCGCAGCTCCTCACAGGGAGGTGTGACAGCCACAGGGAACGGCATGGAGCTGCGTCAGGGGAGGGGGCTGGGGGTGAGGGAAAGGGGCTGCGCCAGAGGGCGGTGGGCACGGAACAGCTGCCCAGGGCTGTGGGCACGGCCCCAGTGCTGGAGCTCAGGGAGCTCTGGGACAGCGCTCTTAGACATCGGTTTTGGATTTCAGGTGTTCCTGGGTGGAGGAAGGGTCTGGATTCAGTGATCCGTGTGGGTTCCTTCCAACTCAGCATATTCTGTGATTCTGTCATTTCCAGTGCCATCATCTCCCCAGCGTGGCTCCCCGACCACTGGGGGCAGCTTGGTGAACCCTGCGACCCTGCACTACTGCCAGAAAGTCTCGCATCATCCCCAGCCTTAGTCACATGAAACCACAGCCTGACAGCAGGCAGTTTCCTCACACCTAAATTAAATTAACTGCATTCTCCTATTTCATTTCTCAGCACAATCTGCCACTCTGAAGGGAAGGCTAGCAATTTTTCTTGAAAACTCACATTGTTTTGTTAGCAAATAAAGAAACGTTTGACACAACATCCACATCCACCATGTCTGCCAGACTGGCAGGGTTTTCTTTCTTTTCCCTGGCTCTTTTCCTCTTTTTTTTTTTCTTTTCTTTTTTTTTTTTTTTTTCCCTTCCAGTATTATTTTCTTAATTTAGTCTGAACCTTCCTTTAACAGCAAGTCAGTGATTTGCTTTGAGCAAAACAATTTGCACACTAGATTTATTGTTTTCCTGCTTGGATGTCCATCTTGTAATGTCTACTGCATGGAAACCCATCCAAGTTCCTTTCTCTCTGTTTTCCTCTTTACTTTGAGCTTTGTATTTTGAAGGAAGTTGATCAAACTGAGCATTCTTGTGAACTTGAGCTTGGTTGCCAAGAATGTACGTGATTCATCCCCCTGTAAGGAAAAGCGCTGGCAATAAAACGTTCCCCACTGCCTTTCTTATTTTACATGCAAAATACTGTTAGCACTCAAAACAAGCGAATCTTGTTACTCAGAACAAAGTGTTACGCTATTAATTGCACGACAACTAGAATTCTTAAAATACTTTCAGGCTCTATTCTTAGAAGAAGGAAATATCACCAGCAGAGGCCTTGAAGCTGATGAGATGCAAATTGTGTGCACTTGTAAAGCACAGTGAAAACTTACCTTGTCTCATACCCTTCATATTGTTACCTTGCCCACAGCAGGACCAAATTCCACGCTTCACGCTTTGCGTTACAGATATTTTAGCCCTTCAGGAAAAGAAAAAATAATTTCAGGGGGGGAAATTGTGCTATTTGCTTTAATGAGGAAAGCAGAGGAACTGAATAATCTGCTCAGCAAGAGTGGTTTTCCATCCTACTTTGTCCCTAGAATCATGCTGGTGTGACAGGACCACATTTTGGCTTAGCGGGCTCCCAGGTCAGCTCCCACAGCTGTGGTTCATGGACCCTGCTCTGCTGTGTGCCCCAGAGAGAGGTTTCCATCTGCTGAGCAGATACTGGCACATACCTCCCTATGAGGTCACAGGGATTTCTTATTGTTTGACGGTGGCTTTACATTAAAAATGTTTGGTGGTTTTTATTTTTTTTAATAGCTAGGAAAGCAGGATTCTTCTTTTCTGGGAGTCTTCCTTTAAATCTGTGGTATTAGTAAGAAATAGCATTGCCAGAAAGCCAACTGTGTCCTGGGTTGCACCAAAGCAGCATGGCCAGCAGGGCGACGGAGTGATCCTGCCCCTCTGCTCTGTGCTGTGAGACCTCACCTGCAGTACTGCGTCCAGATGTGGAGTCAGCAGTACAGGAGAGACATGGAGCTGCTGGAGCACATCCAGAGGAGGGCCACAGCAATGACCCAAAGGATGGAACACCTCCCTGTGAGGACAGGCTGAGAGCTGGGGCTGGAGAGAAGAAGACTCCAGGGAGACCAAGAATTGGCCTTTTGGCATCTAAAAGGGCTGTACGAAGGAAGGGGACAGACTCTTCAGTAGGGTGTGTTGGGATAGGACAAAGGGAAATGGTCTGAAACTAAAAGAGGGGAGATTTAGACTGTACGTAAGGAAGAAGTTCTTTACAATAAGGGCAGTGAGGCACTGGAAAAGGTTGCCCAGGGATGCAGTGGCTGTCCTGTTCTTGGAGATACCCAAGGATGGGGCTCTGAGCACCTGATTGAGCTGCTTGTTGCAGGGAAGTTGGACTACATGACTGCTAAATGTTTCTTCCAACCCAAACGATTATATGACCCTATGAATCAATGACTGGGATCATGGGATTGCAGTCCCAGCAAGGAACAAGGACTTGTTTGAACTGCTTGAAGGAAAGAAATCTCCCACAGCTCAGCTGTCAGCATCCTGTGCGTGTGTGGAGGAGGGAGCTGTACGACTCACAGCCCGTGGAGAACAGAAGGATAAACTTCAGCACCCCCAGAAGCAGGTGCATGGCCCGTTCTTGGCAGCTTTCTATAGCTGAGCCCAGCAAAATTCCCAACTTCAGAGCCAGCAGCTCCACACTGCTCCGCATGAAGACAGACCCAAGTCAGAAACAAGCAATCAGCAGCAGAGCTGCTGCACTTTAACAGCATTTGGCACCCGCCTCATACACCAGAATTGGAATGTAAGACTTTAGCAATAACTGTGCCCTGTGTTCTTAGTATTTCATTTCTATATTTTCAAAACACCATGCTTAGCTAATTGCTCAGTGTTAGCAGCAGAACTTTCACAATCCTTGTCTTTAAGAATTTCACCTTCTTTCATATATGGCAACTCTTTTCTATTTTTTGTTTTGTTAAAAATTCTGATGCCTCTATTTTAAGGGTCAAATATTCTGAACACAGCATTAAACTGGTGTATTGGCTGGTAATTATTATGTCTTTGCGTTCCTCACACCCAAACAAAACACCAGAGCATATTCCAGCATCTCATTGCACAAATGTAATCTGAGAGGTGTAGAAGAGCCATTCTCTTGCCCTTCTATGCCTTAAAGTTTTATATAAATGGATTTGAATCATTCTTAGCTTTGTAATAGGAACAACAAAGCATAAAGCTGACTGCAAAGTACTGTCAAGCTCACGTCTTTTTTAGTAATCCATGTCTTTTCAAATAGCTGCTTTCTTTCCTTCACTTTTCTTCATTTGCAAGAATTTCCCCCAACAATTCAGTGAGGCACTTTTTTGGGGGGAACGTTGTTCTTTCACAGGCATTTTGTGAAAACAAATGGAGCACTGCACACCGCAGCGGGAACTGCCCCAGTGTGTCACACAGAACGTCACGTTGTGCCGCTCGCTGTCAGAAGGCAGCTCTGGACAGATGTCACTTTCTGGCTCCAGCTGCAGCCCAGAGCCGCCCTTTAGCACTGTTCCCTCTGCCCTGCTGCTGTGCCTGCGGAGCTGTGCACATGAACCCTTATTTCCCCATTGCAGGCAAGATCAGCAAGATCATCAGAAACAAACGAAATACGCAGGCAGCGCTAAGCCACGTCACTGGAACCTCTGTGCAGAGCTCGTCACCACTGGCTCAGCCAAGGGCAGGCAGGGACTGTCATGGCAGCGTGTGGTAGGGGACACAAGAAGAGCAAAGCAGTGGCTTCCCCCTCACAGCAGCCTGGACGCAGTGTGGCGCCTTTGACTTCCTGTAGGGGATAATCTCCCCAGCACCTTTTGCCACATGCAAAACGCAATGTGATAATGTACTACACCCAGTAACAACAGCCACTGGTGCAAAGAGGTGACTCCCTTCTTAGTCAAAGGAACAGGTGTGCACAAATTTTCCATTAGGTTTATTTTCAAAGAAGTGGTGATGGGGGGAACCACTGTGATTCTGCCTCACGCTACGCCCCCGAGACTCTCTGTTCCACTGGCACTGTTCCCACCGCTATCGTAGAGAATATGTCAGTGTTTCCACTAAGCTGCAGCTCTGAGGGGCTGATGGTAACCAAGCCGTCAGAATTCATCCTGGGCTCAAACTCCACGTTTTTTAAATTCCCCATGATGGATATTTCCTTTCTCGAAACATACAAACGAAAAAATCAAGTGGATAGTGCAATATGTGCAATGCAGCATTCAGAGAGGAATTCAGTTTTACGCTGTACTATTCAAAATGTTGCAGACAGTTTATAGCAGCAGAACATTCTGGTATTAAGCAGCAAAAAAAAAGGTGACAGAGTTGTTTCCTGGCCTACACACTGAGCCACAAAAGACATTTCTGAGATGCAGATGGATCTCTGGGTGCCGAAGCTTTTCTTTACTCTCAGCAGGGCTTGCCACATGGAACTACTTATTCTGGAGAAAAGTTTCACTCAACTCTTCATTGTGATATTTCTGGAAGCAGGACACATGTAACGGATCACACGACATCACCCTCAGCTATGAAGGATATGGCACTGCTCTCAGAAACTTCCTGCACACTTGTGGGAGCCCCAGAACAGAGCCGAATAAAACATGGCTGCTGCTGTGGCTGTGTTCTGACAACAGAGGATGTGTGTCCCAACAGATACGCTGTCAGTATAGAATTGCTGTGACATGCTGCAGACCCCAGGAGTTTCTCAGTGCTAAGACCTGATCCTGGGGCAGGAAAGAGAATGGAATGTCAGTTCTGGTGCGTGGGATTCATCTTTGTCATTCTGTTGTTGTCAGTAGGAACTGTGCACGCCACAGGCTGGAAGCTCAAAGAGATGTACGGCGAGCTGAAGAGCAACATACCCAGGGACCTGCTCAGACACTCAGATCGCCTGGAACTCTCTGCTTAGAAGAAAAAGCATGACTGTCATTATTGTTCTTCCACGGGAAGAGAGAAGAACAGATACTTAGGAGGGAGGAGCTGGACCAAGCATTAAGCTCACCTGTTAATAGTTATTCATTGAAACATTCCCATGAACACATGAACAGGACCATGTCAATGCCATGTAGATGCTCATCTGCTCAGACCTCTTTGTGTCTTGTTTGAGGACGGGACTTTGTTAATCCAGGAAACAGCCAGGGAGGGGATTTGTCTGCGCAGGAAATGTGGAAGACAACATTAAGTACATCTCTACCAGGTTACGGTGTTGTGAGGGGACGTGCCGGCTTCACCCCAGGGCTGCTGGGGTTGGTGCTGTTGCCCTGCTCAGACAGCATCGGTGTTTCCAGAAACCTTTACACAGGGTTTCCCAGGGCTGTTACCAGTAGTGGCACTGGGACGTGCAGCCACACGGGCTCAGAGGAAGGGGCCTGCGCTGCCCAGATAACTGCTTGCAGTGAATCACAGCGCAGCCCGCTCCTGCTGCTGCCCGTCCTCTCTTCCAGACGCATCTCATGCGCCATTCCAAACATTTCCACTGGCTGCAATACCAACCCACTTTCCTTACAGTGCACAAACATTTCTGTACTGAGGTAATACAATGCACACAGCAGGGGGGAGCAAGTCTATGGTGGAGTATTACCCAAGTTATAAAATCAGTTTATTACTCTATTGTGTGCCTAAACTTTCTGGAACATTGTAACAGATGTACTTTATAGTGAAATGACAACACCTCTTAATGAAATCCAGGTTGAGATTCTGGCAACATTTCTTCCCTAATTTTATATTTTGTAACAGACTCGACTACCCCACCAGGAAAAAGCAATAGAACATTTAGAGCATCCCACCATCACACCTTAGCGTACAGCTGCATGGAGAAGAAAATAACTCTACGTGAGAGAACACAGCTTACGTTTTCATTACTTGAAACTCAATTCTGTCTTCCTCTGCTGACAGTTACAAGTTCCAGTTTGCTCTGTTCCTTTCAGGTGAGATTCACACCAGCACTACAACTTTTGCTGGACCCCTCTTGTGCTACATGCTGTATTTCTGACTCACACTGCAAACATTTCTGCGCGGGGTTGGCCTGAAGTGCTTCCCATGTCCCTCACTGCTGCCTGCGCTGGGATCCGTGCCCTGAGCGCACCGAACGCCATGCACGCCCTGAGGAACCCACCACAAGCATCAAGATGTGGGGCACAACCCAGCTGCCTGCTGTTACTGCGCCTCTGCTGACTATGGATGAATGAGAGATTTTTAAAAAGCTTGTTTTTAGTCACATACGTTTGCTTCAGGAGATCATTTCCGACATGGAACAGCTCTGCTAAACGGTGCTCCTTCCTCAGCAGTACGTGAATGCTGCAGGTTTTCAGACAAACATCCGCAGGAATTGAAAATCAACACCAAAATAACAGAGACGTGATAACTCTGATCTGCCTAATATTATTCTTGGAAACGTTTTCTTCTGAAACGGAATAAAAGGCATCCCGAGGCTGCTCTTTTGGGAAGCACCTGATCTGTACCGTCTGCAGCATCATGAGCAGCTCTGAGCAGGTCTTCCAGCAGCAGCACGGGGCAGCCTGCATGCAGCACCCATCTCTCTGCAGTGTGCTAAGGCCACGTGCACCAACCTGGCTCCTTTTCCATAGAAGATTCCAAAGCCACTCATGGCTGCATGTTGACTTTAGGTGGCTGCTCTTGGCTCTGCAGGAAGTGCATGCTGCTCACAGCTGTTCTTTGAGGAAGCTCTCTGTGGAGCAACTTCAAGGGGAAATGGTTTTAAGTTGAGGGAGGAAAGATTTAGGTTGGATGTCAGGGGGAAATTCTTTACAGAGAGTGGTGAGGTGCTGCAACAGGCTGCCCAGAGAGGTTGTGGATGCCCCGTCCCTGGAGGTGTTCAAAGCCAGATTGGATGGGGCCCTGGGCAGCCTGGTCTAGTATTAAATGGGGAGGTTGGTGGCCCTGCCTGCGGCAGGGGGGTTGGAGATTCATGATCCTTGAGGTCCCTTCCAACCCAGGCCGTTCTGTGATTCTGTGATTCTGTGAATTTACCCAAATTTTACAGAAAGCAGTGTTTCACTAACGTGGTGAAATCATGAAGCTTGACCTTCATCACAAAGCTTTGTCTGACTTTTTAGATGTGATGGATCCAGATCACAAAAGGACATGCACGTGAAGGTATTCACCTTGAAGCTGAATGAAGACTCCCATTCAAATTACACCCAATGACACCAGCATTACTGACAAACGCTCTCATGTAAGAAGTTAGCACGTGCTGGGGATCCAGGAGCATTCCTCAACTACATGGCTGACGGCATTTATGCACTCTTGGCCAATGCAGATTGCACCACGGCTTCAAACTCCCTCAACTCCTTGGCTTTCCTTCCCTTTGGGGTGTGAAACAGCTGCACCTGATCCACGACCTGAATGCACTCAAGCACTGAGCTGCCCAGCTGTGGTACCATCCGCACAGGGCTTTGCTGTGAGCCCATGCTGACTGACTCCCCTCCCCACAGTACATGAGAGTTGAACAGGACCACAAATCCCAACAGTTATGGAGTGTTTTATGATCCCAAATCATCCCAGTACAAAACAGGACAGCGAACACCTTAATCAAGAGAAGCTTTAATGAAAACTGTTCTAAAGGTTGTTTGAAATCCACACTGACTTTGGTACAGAATGCAGGAAATTAAGACTGTAATGAAATCTAATCTACATAGAGCATTCTGAATATAAAGTGTACCTGTGATGAATCATACGAATCATATGAATCAGAATGGTTTGGGTTGGAAGAGATCTTTAAGACCTAGTTCCAACCCCCTGCTATAGGCTGGGACACCTCCCTCTAGACCAGGTTGCTCACAGCCCCATCCAGCCTGGCCTTGAATGCCTACAGGGAGGGGGCATCCACAGCCTCGCTGGGCAACCCATCCCAGTGTCTCAGCACCCTCACAGTAAAGATATTCTTCCTACCATCTAGTCTGAATCTACCCTACCCAGTTTAAAGCCATTTCCTTTCATCCTGTTGCTACATGCCTTTATAAAAAAATCCCACCCCGGCTTTCCTGTTGGCCCCTTTCAGGTACTGGAAGGATGCTACCAAAGCACAAAACACAGGAAATACCAGCAATCACATTTGCAAAGAAAACAATGTTGTTGCAATGTTGTTCTTCTACCAGCAGGTAAAGCCTGTCTGCAGTAGCAACTCCATCAAATTTGAGTTTCTGCTTTCCAAGCTGACTGCAGAGATATTCAGAAGATGTTTATGCTCTTGCCAAAACATGCTAATTTCCACAGTTAAGACAAAGACCAAGTCCTCTTGTCAGGACCATCAAACATGCTTTTCTGGACACATGCACAACCATGCTAATTAAGGACTAACACATAATTGTGGTTAGCAAGAACTCACAAACGCAGCCTGCAAGCCATGGGAGCCTTGGGAATCTGAGCATAATGTGCTGCAATAGTTGCGGCTAAGGCAGCTCCTTGGAACTGAAATGCAGGTCCAAAAAGCTCAGTGTTCCTTGTTCTGGTCATCTGTTACAGCTTTCATAGTAGCTGTGAGGTTTACCTTTTCCACTGATTTTCCAGGCCCATCTGTGCCACTCATTTCTATATTTTTCTCTTTCCATTAATTTTCATCTTCTCTTTTGTGCCTACAAAGTTTTAAGTAACACAACATCGGCTGGCTTCTTTTGTTTCCCCCTTTCAATCACAACTTACACACAGTAATTGTTTCATTGACCAGGACTGGCCGTGCTCTTCCCTGCATGGCTGCAGCAGGTTTGCCCAGTCCTGTACCCCAGAGGCACCAATGCTTGATCTCATTCATACCTTTCTGAAATGTCCCAGTAAGCAATTAAAGTTCACTATTTACAGAACCACTTCAGTGGGAATGTGTGCTAACAATTCTTAAGGCAGAAATTCACACTTCTGAAATCACCTGTTTCAGTTCTCAAGACACTCATATCTGGAAATGTTTGATTCAGAATTTGGCTATCTCTTTCCAGCAACAAAGGCCAGAGACTCACTCACATATAGCGTCTCACTCCAGCTCACAACCTCAGCTAAAAGCTTTCATTTTCTTTCAGTGCGTACCAGGGGGGGCACGCACAGAACACAGCATCTCAGAGAAGCAAGACATTTCTCAACACTCAGAATCTAAGAAAAGGCAAAGAGCAGGTGAAGCAATTGACCACCTCGCTGCCAGCAGGGTCAGACTCTGCTGCATTCCTCTCCCCACCACACCTGGGCACGCACTTCCACTTCTCACCTTGCTCCAGGTCTACAGCCACGGGATCTGCTCAGAGCATGCCAAATGCAATACAGTGACATAAAACCAGCTCCCAGCCATATAGCTTTCTCCTCAACTAGGGAATTTCACTTGTTTTTGGAAGCATCCAATAAGGGACACGCCTGGCAGAAAGGAGGAGAAAAGAAGTCCCGTGACTGAGGGTAAGGACAGGCAGCAGGGAGCTGCCAGACTAAGCCAATAACGTGTGGGACCTTGGCCTCACGTGGTGGGAGCCCTTCACTCAGCGTTGTGCCATCTCCAGCACAGCCTGCATTCTGCACGCCAGCCTACAGAGCACATCGCTGCATTTCCATTTCCAACTTTCTCTTCCAAATGCTTATGAATCTGAAATTTGATTGTTAATACAGCCCACAAATAATAAATTGTCATGCTAGAATTCTCTTAAATGCGAGCACATTAGGTCATTTTTCACATAAATCAAGCATTCAAAAGCTTCTAACAGAAGGAACTACTTAGACTCATAACAGAGCTGTGCTTTATTTGTTACAGCTGTTTTTTTATGATACCTGATCCAAGACATAAATCCTTTTGTTTTGAAAATGGCCGTCCAGATATTGAGCCCCAAGCATATATTAAGAGGGCAGATATAATTAATTTTAGCACTGTAATAAACTGCATCGTTGCCTGGGAAATCAAATCCTACGAATGGTGGCAAGGCTGAGTCATTCCCTTTGATAATAAAATGATGACATGTTATAACTTAATACAGACCAAAAACTGCACAATACTGTCCAGGCTACCAGAGAAGAAAGTTAATGAAAGCTGAGGGTGCACTCCAAGAGGCTGTTGGTGCTCTTGCCCTGTATTAGGAGTGCCATAAATCAATTGCTGTTGGTTATATTAGAGATGAACTGGTTTTTATTTATTTATTTATATTTTTAAGATTTGGACTGATGAATACAAGAAATACTTATTTTCCTTTTCTTCTCCTACATATTCTTTTAATAAATAATTCACTGAAGTCATCTACCTACAGTGTTCGGAAACACTGCCGCATGAGGTCAGTCTGAGATCTGGGACAGCTCAGCTCTGAGAGAGACTCCCTGAGGTCCTGGGGACCTCAACGCTGCGTGTAAGCATCACCATGATGAGACAGAGTGAAGACACAGCCAGATTTCCCAGTGGTGACCAGTGACAGGAGGAGGTGCAACGGAACTGAACACTGAACACAGACTGAGATAGCAGAAATAATAATAATTAAAAAATATATGTTTATACAGGGAGGGTGATCACAAGCACAGGCTTTGGAGACCTTCCAAACTGAACTGAACACCAAAAGCAACAGGCTCTTGCTCCGAGTTGAATTTGGAACATTCTCCTGCAGAGTTCCCTTCTGACCTCAGTAATTGTCTCTGATATTTGTTCATCCTGCATCTGTGAACATTTGTGAATTCATACAGGGAAGATTCAGATTGAACATAAAGGTGTTTTTTACAATAAGGGAGGCGAGGCGCTGGCACAGGTTGCCCAGAGAGGTGGTGGGTGCCCCATCCCTGGAGACACTTAAGGTCAGGCTGGACGGGGCTCTGTGCACCTGATGGAGCTGCAGGTGTCCCTGTTCATTGCAAGGAGTTGTAGTAGGTGGCCTTTAAGGGTCCCTTCCAACTCAAACAATTCTGTGATTGTTTTCACGTCATTTTACAGAATTTTTGTTTTACTCTTGAAATAAAAAATTCATGACACTTTATGAAATAATTTGAGTGTAAATTCTCTGGAAACAAATGAACATTCCCCAATTTTGATACAATAACTCACTTTTTTAAGTTATCACATCAGAAACACACACCTCCAACACTAGCCTGAGACAAAACACCAAACTTAAATTTAACCTAATACAAGACTCTATTCTTGGAAAAGCCAAGCCCAGAAATGGAAAGCATATGTGGTTGGTCTTTCCAATACGTAATATTAAGGGAAATTCTAAGTGCAATTTACCCCTTTCTAATTTATTTGAACCCACCAGTAGCTGCGCTGGCTGATTATTTCATTTATTTACACTAGGCAGCTGTTTTTCTCCATACAGTTCTTCTCCATACAGAAGGAAGCTTTTTCCAAGGAGCATCAGTAGCTCACTAAAAGCTTTTCCACGCAACAGAAACCACGGGCAACAGCTTACAGAATGCGTGTGTGCCCGGCGCTGAGCCCTGCAAGAAGCCCGCGCACTGCACGTCACCCCGAGCCCAGGAGGAGCGCAGTATTTCCTTCGGATCACGTCACGGTTCGGGCTGGAAGGAGCTCAGAGCCCACCCGGTCCCAGAGCCACCACGTCAGGCTGCCCAGGGCCCCCCAGCCCGTGGGTGCCTGCAGGTTGGGGCACCCCCGGCTCCCCGGCCAGCCGTGCCAGTCCTCACCGCCCTCTGAGCGAAGCCCTTCCCGCTCACATCTGACCCGAAGCTCTCCTCCGCCGGTCCAAGACCACCTCAGATCCGTACAGGTTACTGGGAGGAGACCCCCGGGCTGCTCTACCCGCCCAGCATTAGCGGTGCCGGCACGGGCTGACGCCATCCGCCGGGCCTAACAGCCACCGCGGAGCGCTGCGTTACAACCGCCCGGCAGCGCGGCGCAGCTCCAGCCGCCATCTCTCTCAGCGGCCACGCACCGCTCGCCCCCTCGGCCACCTTCGCGCCTCTCCCGCGCGCACCGCCGCCTTCGCTCCACTATCGCGAGAACCGGGCGCGCGCCGCGAGACATCCGGGCCGTCGGCTGCGGGACGAGATGGCGGTGGAGTCGCGCGTCACGCAGGAGGAGATCAAGAAGGAACCGGAGAAGCCGATCGACCGGGAGAAGGTGCCGGGGCTGCGCCGGCCCGCCGCGCCCGTGCCGCCGCCGCAGCCGTTTGCGGGGCTGCCGGGAAGGGGGGGGGCAGCATGGCGGGGTTGGCGCCGTGAGGCCTTGCGGGGGTTGCGCGCCTTGTGCCTCACGCCGCCTCTTCCCGCCCGCAGACGTGTCCGCTGCTGCTCCGCGTCTTCACCACCAACAACGGGCGGCACCACCGCATGGACGAGTTCTCCCGCGGCAACGTGCCCTCCAGCGAGCTGCAGATCTACACCTGGTGAGCTGGGCCGGGGCTGCGCGTGGTGGGATTGCACTCTGCCATCTCCTTCGTCGTTGCTGTCAATCTGATTAACGTGGGGCGCCGTCCTCCCGCAGAAGCAGCTGTCCCGGGAGGCTGGGACGCTGCAGCACGTGTGCGTTGGTCCGGGTCAGAAAGAGAAACGGCTCTTCTTTCTATGTGTGCGGGTGGAAGGGCTGCAGCGCTGCTCGTGTCGCGTTTGCGGCGAGCAGGGAGAAATCCTTTCGTCTGCACTGTAAATGCATGAATTCCCCTCACAGCATTTTGAAGAGCATTGCTTTGTTGAATTGCGTTGCTTTATAAGCACTGTCTTTCCTCCGGGGTTTCTGCTAGAGCTGTGACACGTGCGTCACTGTGTGTTTGAATAAATCCACTGTTGTCCCTAACAGAGCACGCAGTTCTGATGTATTTCTGCAGGGGGTTTATGAACTCAGTGCAGGCCGTTGATGATGTCTAAGCCATCCGCAGAGCAGTCAGGGTGGGCAGTCAGCCAGCCGTGGCACAGAGCTCAGGGAGCCTGCAGTCCTCAGAGCTGCTTGGGCGGCTGTGGTCCTTTTGTTTGTAGAGTTCTGAAGTTAGTTTTGGCCCTGTTCTGGTTGAAGGGTGCAGAGAAGGAGGAGTGCCATCTGTTAGGGCAGAAGTGGAAGTACTGGTGGAAAACTGCTCGTGATTATTTGTTTTGCTTTGATTTCTATGCTTCCTCTAAGAAACCATTTTAACATTAATACCAACTTGAATAAGGAAACACATTCATTGTAAATGTATTAAAAAAATGCAAAAAAGGTCACTTTTTTGAGAGACCTGGAAGAGCAACGTTGATCCGTACTGGTTGTTTGGAGTGCCACATTGTTGTGAAGTAAGTGGCTCCCTGTATAGCTGAAATATGTGAAGTGTTACTCTTCTTCATGTATTAACAGGAAGCATGCAAAGGCGAGGAAATGTATGTTTAAGCTGTTGCAAAATACCAGTTCCATCCTAAATGGGCACTGGAAAGCTTTTTCGATTGCTGCTTTGAGAAGGTGAACCACTTGGGTTTGTTTGTTTGTTTAACGTAGGATGGACGCAACTCTGAAGGAGCTCACCAGCTTGGTGAAGGAGGTGTACCCAGAAGCACGGAAGAAGGGCACGCACTTCAATTTTGCAATTGTTTTTACAGATCTCAAGCGACCGGGCTACAGGTAAAGGGCATTTCTTCTCCGGAACAACAGAAGGCTTGAGGAAGCACAGCAGTAAAATACAATACTGATTTTAAAGTCAGGCGTTCACAAATAATATTTCTGAATTTCATGATAACAGACTGCAGGATTGTCATTATGAACTCTGCGTTTTGACTGGTCACTGCTGTAGTCTGTGTTCCCTAAACAGTGAATGTGTTTGCTTAGCCACCTGGAGCGCTGAATTGGCCACCAGCTAACCGTGAGCCCAGTGCGAGGTGGAGCTTCACTTCCGGTGATCTGAGACTGCTGTGCAGTCTGTGGGGCTTCAGCTCTGTGTGAGGGGGCAGGGGGTTCTGTCTCGTGTTAAGATGGCTGAAGGGTCCCCACCCCTGCGCCCTGTCAGAAAGACTCAGTGTAGCTTTACTTGGTGCAGAAGAAAACGCTGTGGATGTAGTGAGGTACGGTATGGAGCACGGCACGGCGAGGTTGGAAAGGCTGATGCTGCTCCTGCATTAGACGTGCAAGGCCTGGGCTCTGGTAACTAACTGCCTTTCATCTCCGTGCACAGGGTGAAGGAGATCGGCAGTACCATGTCGGGCAGGAAGGGCACAGATGATTCCATGACATTGCAGTCCCAGAAATTCCAGATAGGAGACTACCTGGATATAGCCATCACGCCTCCCAACCGCGCACCGCCGCCTTCCAGCCGCATGAGGCCATACTGAGCTGTTGCTGCTTTGTATGATTCTATTTTCTGCTTATTCCTCCTTGCTGTTCTAAAGCAGGCTTTTTTTATTGCCTTTATTGCAAAGTAAGAACACCTGAAGACAAAGCTGAACATCAAGGATGTAAGTCACATTTTAAACCTTTTAGTTTGTTTAGAAGGAACACTTAATCTTTAGCAGTGCCATCGCTCTGTCCTTGATTGGTTCATAGTTTGCAGAGTAGGTTGGTGTGTCTCGTGTTTCAGGTTTCCATAGAATGCGACCAGAATGACTACAGGTGTTCTGTAGTTCTGTCTTGTGTGGAATAAAGATGGCTGTTATTAATCTTTTGAATCTGATTGTGTGTGTGATTTTTTTAAAACTATTTTAAGCAGACAAATTCAGAAGTTGGCTTTTAAGCAGAAGTTAAAATATTTGGAGGGCATTTACTGCCCATTCAAAAAAAAAAAACACCAAAAAACCCCACACCAAAACAGCTGCTTTGTTTATACTGTATGTTACTGAAGTGGTGGATGTGTATCATAGGCGTTATAAAACATGGAAAGAGACAAAAAGATGAAAGAAAGGCCACCTTACTTAATGGTGCAAAAACGACCTTTCTGTACAGGGGTGGTTTGCTTTGTGTGCCCTGCTGTGGGTACCTGCTGTGCCTGAAGGTAGGAGTGGCTACAGAGTAAGAGAGAGCCTGTGGGTTCAGACGGGCTGTGCAGCGTGCAGAGCTTTTTGCTGCTGGTTCCTGAGGAAGTTATATTTGCTTACCAATAAGTTTTCCTCAGTGCATTTTAGGAAGGTGAATGCTGTTACCTCTCCCCCTTAGCTAATCCCCTTGCCTAATCAATAGATACAGTATTAGGCTCTGCACTGACTGATACAACTTTTCTTGAATAACTGTGACGTGCAGAGTGCCGTTTTCTTGGATTACAGCAGCCCTTGGGTGTGCGGGCACAGCCAAAAGCTGTCGGTGAGGCTGCGCGGTGAGCAGCTGCTCCTCAACCACCCCGCGGGTCAGCGCCGTGCGGGGGGCGCAGGCTGCGCCGTGCCTGTGGCGAAGCTGTGCCTTGCTGTCCCTGCAGGGGGAGAGCTGGAGCCGCGCACTGCCTCGGCTCTGCGGCGGTACTTCGTGGGCGAAGCGGCGGAGTGTCGGAGGGCAAATCTCTCGTCGTTTGGCCGGAGGCAGCGGCAAGGAGCTCAGCTGAAGTTTTCGTTCGCGTGGAAGTCATGCGACGGTGAACTCCGTGCTTCAGCGTTGCAGGCGCAGGGTTCCCAGCAAAGGCAGCTCCACATATCCATGCCGTAGTGGTTTTCCTTGCTGTGCTGACACGTAAGGCCTCTGGGTTGTTGCCGCGTTCCTCCACTTTCTGCACCATTTTAATTAGAAAAGATGTTTGAGGAGTCCGAGCAGTGCATGTTCCCTAAGTCAAGAATCCACTCTGTGGTCGAGCCCAATAGCAGTCAGTTTTAAGTTAGACAGCAGTGACAACTGTCATGTGTTGAAAGAGGTGTAAGTGAAAGCTGACTGCGCTGGTAACGAGCATCCCATGAGCAATGAGCTCCTTCAAGACTGTCTCAAGTGCTGAGGAAGGAAATCAGTCACCCAGAGACAAGTGATGTACAGCACCTACAACACAGTCTCAAAACTCAGCAGCAATGAGCAATCCCAAACGCTCAAGAAGCGAACGCTACACCCAGCTCTGTCCATTAGCAGGGCTGTTTTGTATTTGGAGATCTAATGAGTGTTTGTCCCCCAAGGCAGTGAGTGAGGTGGGCGCTCACTACCTCTCGGTGCCCCAGGCCCTGCCGCAGCACTGAGACGCAGCTCGCCATCCCACAGCCGCACTGCCACCAGCAACCGCTCCTCCAAAGCTCTCGTTATTTCTTCAGCAGTGTAACTCCAGGAACTCCACCCTGCGTGGGGATGCAGCAGGATGGAATGGCTCCAGCTACAAGACCCAGGAAACTGGGCCCTTATTTTCTCTTTTCTACACTCAGTAACTCAGCCACTCTGCTCCTGCAACTGAGGCTTCCTGCGTCCTTCAGCACATCCCTCCTACTGCTCCAACCTCATTTTGCCTAAGGGACAAATTCCTCTCTGCCACACTCAGGCCTCCACTAAAGGTTATTTCCACAGTCCTCCTCTCATTTCATCACCCCTCTGGCAGGTCCTGCTCCTGCACCAGGGCAGCGTGTGCCTCTGATAATGTCTTGATGCTAAGCAAAGTTTTTATGTAGAGCTTTTGGGGAAGGCTGGCTGCATCTCTGCTGAAGGTGATGATGTCTAGGTTAATCCTCTCCCTGTTTAAGAGGTGAGGACAAGCCACACGCTTTGTCAATAAACTCAGTTGCATCAGAGCAGTTCCTTGCTCCATCAGCAAACTTAAGTTTTGCTTTACAGCTCTGGTCAAAAGGAATGGTCATGATGCAGATGGAAAAAATAAGCACTCTCAGCAAGTGGTTTCAAGAGGAGTATGGGTGGAACTGCCTCTGCTGCCCTAGAAATGCTCACAGAGCAGTGGCCACAGGAGAGCTCACCACTGCAGCCGTGCAGACAGCCAGCTCAGCACTGCGAGCACAGGCAGGATTTCACAAGGCACTCAGACTGCTGACAGGAGACGTCAGTGCTCCCCTCCCATGCAGCCCTTTCCTTCCTCTGGCCTCATCCCAAGCAGTGCCTTTGCAGGTGAGCAGTGGTTTGGGTCAACACAGTGTCTG